TTGTATTCAATGAGTGGTAAACGTATGCAATGAACCAACTCTTCAGCCGTTTTCGTGTCCACACTATTCCTGTCGATGAAGTCTTTTGTCATCAAAAACAATGTCTTTTCCGAAACTTTTAGTGAATTCCGGGTTAAGAAAGACTTCAATGAATCGACGGATATCTTGAAGAAGTCATCAGACAATTGGTCGCAAACTCTAGGATTCGCGTCCAAGAAGTCGAGGCATATATTGAGACAATCGCTGAGATGTGACTTCGAGGACTCGTCCATCAGTTGCCATACATTTGACTCTTTGATAATTGTCTTAATCTTTGGTTTCAAACACTTCTCGAATGTATTGAATTGGTATCTCTGAGTGAGACCTCTTTGGGTGACAATTCATTAGTGGTTACATAGCTATCACTGGACACTTGATCGTACCTAAGAGTCCGATCACATCGATGGCCGACATATCTTTCATGACTAGACGTCCAGTGTATGTGCGGGTATTGACCATATTTTGTGGTAAAGTAATGAGGGATCAGATGATGTGATAATGAGGTATGAATTGACGTGAATATCACTGAGTGGTAATGTGTAGTGTGTAATATAAACTCTACTCTCTATACCACATGTGGTATAATACAGTACTGTATTGTTGTCTGTTTGTTAAACGGATTAAACTAAGTAAGCCCCCTTGGTGCAATCAAAGTATGGGTTTAAAAGTATGATTTACCTTGATGCAATAGTTCATTCAGAATGTGCTGCTCTCTCTTTCTCTCTCTCTCTCTCTCTCGAGTTTTTAATTTTATAACACTTTTATTATAATTAATATTAAAATATATGAACGAATAGAATATTCTTGTAATATATTACAGAAAAGTATTTGAAAGTGATTTCAAACACATTGTATGTCTAATCCGTGGCAATCGCACCGGTATTTCACTGGAATGAGAAGCGGGCGGTCGTAGCGTTTCCGTACAGTTTGCCCACAAAATGCAACACATCTTTCAAGTCATCGCTCGCCGTAACCTATAAATCAAAACAATATTCATTTAAAGTCATTAATCATGAGTTATATATAGTACTGTTCTGTAGTTATTCAGGTTAATACAGTATAGTATTGAAGAATATTCTTTACCAAACATGCAGTAAATTCTATAATTCCATAATTTATTTATTTTTAATGAATTCATTTTAGATTACTTTAAGAATTATTCACTAATTCTGGCAAAATTTGCACAAATTGTTTATTACATGAAATATAAAGAATATTCTGAACAGAATTTCCCGGAATAATGGCAAACCTTTGTCAACATAAGTAGTTTATTCCAGTCATCCTTATTCACGGCATACTTTCCCGGCTTAAACTCCAACGCCTTGTGTTTAATGACGGGATAGCCGGTCACCAAACAGGGCAGACATCGGGTGGAGTCGGCGTTCACGAGACTCGCCTCATATACGTCTCCCTCCCGGAGCGCATCGACCGGCAGTGACTGCGAAACGTGCGAAT